AAATCGCCACAGCCCAAAACAGGGCCCCTGACCCCAGCCGCTCAGCCACTGTCCCACCCCCCCGGGGCTCAGCCTCTGCCCCACAGCAAAGGGAGGCAAGTGTACATAGGGCCCCAGCAGCCCCCTTTGCCCCGGCGCCTGGTACTGCCGCCGGGGCGAGGCGCGGGGGGCGTGGCCTCAGCGCTAGGTTAGTCAGTCTGTAGGGATTTCGTCTCTTCTTTCTACTCTGAAGGCTTTAGACTGAAACGTTGCTTATCAAAAAAGACAAAAAAACAACAAAAAAAAAAAACAAACACCCAAAAAACCTGCATCAATAAATGTAATTTGATTTTTTTTTCATAGCTCTGCCCCCTGTGTCCTCCTTGGCCCCTTCCCCCGAGGCGCTAGGTTAGTCAGTCTGTAGGGATTTCGTCTCTTCTTTCTACTCTGAAGGCTTTAGACTGAAACGTTGCTTATCAAAAAAGACAAAAAAACAACAAAAAAAAAAAACAAACACCCAAAAAACCTGCATCAATAAATGTAATTTGATTTTTTTTTCATAGCTCTGCCCCCTGTGTCCTCCTTGGCCCCTTCCCCCGAGGGACAGAGGCCTGAGAGCCGGAGCTCCACTGGGGGTTCAGCCTGGTGCCCTGACAAGCCCCCACCCCACCTGCCCAGCCCGTCTCCGGGCCCCCACACAAGGCAGAAACATGGCTCAGTAGAGGAGGAAGCGCAAGGGCTGGCATGGCCTGTCCCAAGCCCCTGGCAAAGGGCAAGTCCCCCCCACCCCCAGCAAGTCAGTGGGAAAGTAAGGACCCCAGCAGCCCCCAATTCCAGGGCCTGTGGGGTGCACCCCGGGAGACCTTCCACAGGAATAGCAGCGGCTGGGGAGAGGCCAGGGGGTGCCGAGGGACCAGACACACACACAGCAACTTGCATCTTCCCACTTTATTCCAGAAAAACCCAACGTGCACAGCTCCCAGCTCCCGGCCGTGGAGCCGGGGCCACCGGGGGAGGGGGCTCCTCCCGTCCCCCCA